TCCGGACAATTGGGGGTGGGAAAAGAGCCCAGCCGCAGCTGCACAATGTCTACGACCTAGCAATGCGGTGCCCGAGCCCTGCCAGGCCCCTGCTAACGGTGGCATCTCAAAAAGGCTCAGCGGGGAAGGGACAGAACCAAACCAGAACACCAACACAGCGACCAAGTGCTTCTTAGCCCGTGTTGTTTTACGGTCCCCCAGACCGTGGGAAGCAGGACAGCAGACAGAGCCTGCCAGCAGCCTGCGCTGCAGCAGTGACAGCCGGCCAAGCCTGTCCCTACCTAACGGGGGGGGTCCATGACAGAAGACCAGGCTGTAAAGTGCAAGAGGCCCAGTTCACAACTCACTCCCCGTTCGCCCCATGGAGCCCCTCCACAAGCTTGCTTTGCGAGGGTTACAACTGGAAAAGAGACACTGACACAGCACTCACTCAGAAGGAGACCTGGACTTAGAATATTCTTATATGAATAACCCTCTCCTTCCATCCAGACAGGACGCTGGCAACTAGGAACAACATTCATCACCGCTAAAACCAGAACACGTTTCAGTTAAAAGCTCAAGAAACTGTGCCAAGCAAGTCTCCTCGCACAGGGGAGGAAAGATTTTGATTAAGGAGGGCTCAAATCTTGACCCACTGTTTCCGAACGGCCACTGCGGATGCTGTTTGCTGAGGCAAATGGCACCGTTTGGGGTGGTTTTGCAGTGAGCTTCATTGAAGTCTGCAGTCCCCTGAACACCCCCCTTGTAGGCCAGCCCAGAGATGTTCCCAGCCAGACAGCGCTTTAAATACTTGCTCCCTCCAGGTACCAGGAGCGCCTGCCCAACCAGGACCAGGGGAAGTGCCTCAGCAAGCAGTACCCTGTGAGGTTTTTTTTTGTTTTTTAAGCCCAAAAGTAACTATACCAAACCAACAGCAACCAGAGGTCCTGGCAGAGTAAACAAAGGCAAGTTCACATCTTTGAATGAGACCATCACTGATTACAAAAACAAAACGCACAACACACACTAAAGGATATATCGGTGAGCTGCTTGCTGGAACGTAACCAGCACAGCCTCTTCCTGGGGATATCCTAGGCTTGAGGCTGGCACAGCTCCTCTGCTCCTGCAGTGCTTTTCTCTTCCCTTCCCTGCTGCCTAGGGCAAAGAGCACCAGGTGATGCTGAGCGCACCTGGTTGGGCCAAAGGATCATCTATAGACTAACAGAGACCTTTTCCATAAGCAGAAGGTTAGTGGAGCGTCCGTCTTCGCCATGTCCCAGGCCAGGACTGAGCAGTCTCCGCATCGCCCCAGTCATTGCTCCCGATGAAGTGCTGTGAGGTAGAACAGGTGGGTAAGGCAAACAAGATACTCAAAGCTGCAACTCCATGCCAGCGTTGCAGATCTGCGTTAGAGAAGCAAAGCGCAAGCAAGCTTTAGGCTCTGTCCAAGCTCCATCAGTCCTACTGACCCACAGCACCTAAGCAAGACGGACACTGCACTAAAAAGATTTTGGGATAGGGGTGCGTAAGGAAGGGGATCCTTCAGCACACAACAAGAATTCCCACTTCCCAGGTAACTAATGCAAGCTAAGCAAAAAAAAGAGACAACTGGAAACAAGACTGTTTCAGATAAGTGACCTAAATGCAAGTTTGAGATGGATACAAAACCCCTATGCACAGTTTTGCCATAAGCTAAGACACCAGAGCTTCAGCTAACTGCTTGTATTTGCGCGCAAGGCAACTATTCTCTTCGATAAAAGAGTATAAAAAACAAATATCCAAGTTAGTTTCAAGAGCAACAATTCTCTAGAGGAGACTTTCCAGCTCTATTACAAGCAGGTACAAACGTTCTCTGAGGATAAGAATTGAGGGGCCTTGCTAGAACTGACCTGTTGTTCAGAGGCACAGATCAAACCAGCTCTCAGACTAGAAACTACAGGTACTCAGTGCTCCTGAAAAGTAACATCAGGCTAGCTCTATTTAAGGAGCTTAAATATATGTTTCAAGAGCCTTAGAAGCTCATGCCCGTGGCTCTGGTAAAGCTGCCTTTACTAGATTACTGACCTTTAAGAGCCAGGAGAGACTGTTACCAAGATCCTGTAGTGACAGAGCACAGAAAAGAGGAGTTAATTGCAGTGCAGATGCATTGTGGAAAAGGAACCAACTGAAAAAACCCCAATGCTTAAGTGCTTGATTTTCCTATGCTTCTAAGCCCAGAGGTCAACTGCAGTATTTGTACTCATAGGATGCTGGTAGTGCGACTGCCACTTTAACCCAAACTGGTCCCGAAACCTACGCTTCACCTTCATCTCCGGCCCCTTTTATTAGTTCCTGAGCTGGGTTCCTGGATCAGCTCACAGGCAGGAGCTGCAGATATGAACCACAAAAATGAGTTAAAAATTGTTGGATTTACTCAGCCTGGAAGTGTGGCTGCCTCTCCACCTTGGCTACAGGATTCCTGCAGTGATACTGGTTAACATGTCCCAGGCTTCCAAGAAAAACCTGCTTCATCCACAGTGCTGTAAGAAACAGGAGTGGCTGCCAGCTCCAGCCACCTCTTTTCACTGTACTAGGACATGCCTGGAACCCAAGGAGAAGAGATGGACAACCTGGTGGCAGGACTCAGTGGCACAGGAGCCATACAACATGCACTGGCACCCTTAAGCCAAGGTCTGGGTCCTGAAGGACTGCAGCCCTCAACACCATTCCCCCAAACCAGTATTTTCCTGGCAATATTCTGGATAGAGATAAAATGTGCAGCGCTGAAACAGAATTAGGAAAGCATAAAACAGCTTCACTAACAGCTCAGCAAGTCCTTCAGTAATTAAGGAAGCATGATTAAAACTATGCCTGGAAGAAGAGACAACACAGACCAGCTGTCACATACAGGACAGGAAAAGTAAAAGGGTGAGTGCATATATTGCCAGATCTGAACATGATCCTGTCCGTTCCCAAGAGAGCACCATCAAGCCAAAAGGACTGCCCATTAACAGAAAGAGAGGAGACCTGAAAACAGAGCCTAACCAGCAAGGCAAGTAACTACTGCCATAAGACAGTTACCCTCAGATAGTATTAGTGAGAAAGGAATAAATTTATTCTTAAGACTTAAAACAAAACCATTATTATTAATAAATAGTTTGTTTCTCAGCATGCCACACCCCACCATGGCAAAATCAGTTTGGTCTTTCTGTTCAAGTATTTCCATTCCCCCAGAACCTGTGAGAAGCAGTCATTTAGTTTAAAAATAACCCAAACGGAAACCCAAACAGCTTCGTAGCAGAACGTGTCAGGAACAGAGTCGGATGTGCACCGAGATCCAGGTCTGCTCTCACCTCGCTGTGCTACAAGCCTGCCTTGTGATAGGCAGCACTAGAGAAAAAGCAAGCCTGTTTGCCAGCACTGATTTTAAGTAGATTTCTTTTTTTTTTTAAGCTTCAAGGTGCAATAAATTAAGGCACCAAAAATCCAGAACTCTCTAAAGATGAAGCATGTGTAGATAGGAAATGGTTTCAGATTTCAAGAGATGTCTTTGTCTCGCAGTATGACAAACACTTGCAGGATTTTAGAGAGGAGGTTCTGTTTAACACGTTTAACTTCCACAAACAAAGGGAGGTTTTCAGGGTCTATTCCTACCTGTTACCAAAGAGCACTAGCCTGCAGGTAGGTGGGACAACAAACAAACTGTGCCTTAAGGAGACAAAGTGACATCCCGAGATTTAAGATCGGATGTCTTCTCACAGCATCAGCACCGGCCCAGTCCTTAAGGCCCAGCAGCGCTAATGAGAAGACACAGGACAACACAAGCTCCAGCCTTGGGACCCCAGAACTCAACTGAAAAGTTGAGGGAGCAGCTCAGTTATTCCCTGGTCCTGCAAACACCTAACTAGAGAGAAATCATCCAACCTCCACTTGGTATCAGCGCTGCTAGCACACTTTCCCTATCTGAACACGTTCCATATATAACTGTTGTGTCCCATTTCAAAGTTCCCTGTAGTTCTCGTGCAACCGTGATTTAAATCTCCCTCATAATTATATTTCATTAAATAGCAAGAGTCAAAATTCAAGCACAGCCCAATTCCTCTGTACACTTAGTTTTTTTCTGTACAATGTCAGTAAAATATATAGAATAAGCTACTTTATTAAATAAACTCTGAAAACCTCTCCCAGATTAGACACCCTTTTCCAGACGCATAGCCGTACAGACACATTACCATACAGACATTTAGTCTCACATTCCCACGGCAAGCCCTCCTCGCGATGTTAGCGCAGGTGAACGCTCGCTCTCTCCTCGCAGGGCGTACCATGACCGACCAACCATGATTTCACACGTGACAACACACAGAGCAGTCGTGCTCCATGTACAGTGAATGCTGTGAACCAAATTCAAGATTTCAAGTCTCGTCGTCTGCATGACAATGATTCAAATTTACAAAAGAAAAAGCGTTAAATAGTAGTTACAGTTTGAAGGTTTCCTACAGCAGGAAGATTCTTCACCTGCAGAAGGAAAATTCTGTGACCAAGCTTCTACAAACCACGTTGTACAATAATCAGTGTATAAGCAACTTTGTTCCCATGGTAAATTACATATGAACAATCTGTTGTGCTTGTTCGCTTCCGGATGCAGCCTTTCCAGAGCCTGGGTTTAAGCTACACTCTTCATTCAAGCACAAATCCTCATTAAATAAAGTGAACAAAAAAGAAAATCAGCATTCAGTCTTCACCACCCCACTCAACTGAAAAAAAACAAATTATAAAATAATGAAAACATGCCTTTTACAAATGGACAGTAAACAAATATAACCCTGGATGAAACATGCAGCCGTTGGGGACAATAGTACTGAAAATAGTGGTATTGGAAAAGGACCCCACCACACACCTGTCAGCTTTCTGAAAGTGAACACACACACACAACTGACACAACATTTATTAAGGTGCTTTTTTAAGCTGTGGATTTCCTGCTGTTGGTCTGGTGGGAAGGGCTATGTGCCGAGTGGGCCTGGCTGTAATACCTAAAAACAAGAGGTCCAGGCAGCATGTAATGACCCAACGGAGCTGACCCTGAACAGCAAGTTCATACTGGTATAAGGGAGGAGTTTGGCTCTACGTTACAGAGGCCGTTTTAAGCCACTTTTTGCCCTAACCATGGCCAGCTGGAGCCCACACCCCAAATGCCAGTCAGGGAACATACATGGACAGACAAGAAGTGTCGAGACATGGTCCTAGGTACCCGCGGCTGCATCGGGGAGGGGGAAGCTGCCTTCTCACTTTTAAATGAAACTAAGCCCTGATTCCTAAGTCCCCCAAGTGGAATACTACTAGAATTTTTTCTTAAGAAGTTGCAAGTATTTGCCTGAAGAGGCGAGTGCAGGAAGGCAGGACAGAACGGGAGAACTGTAACCACCTGTTCCTTAAGCACTGGCTCAGGACAATGGTTGTCTAACAGGATTAGGGACAGAGGGGAATCCCTCTACCACCAGGACGTTCCCCTGACCTTGTAGAAATCAGCTGCTATGCTGTTTTTGGCGACAGGTCGAGGCGCTTTGCTCAGGTAAAGTCATCTGCGTTCTCAACCAGCTTTATCTGAGCAAGAGCTGGCATCTGAGGTTTCACTGGGAACATTCAGCTGGTCTAATATACAGTAATAGAGACCTGAAAGGCTACCCTCCTTGTCCAGTTTCACCAAATAACCGTAGGCTTGTGTTCAAACAGCAGCGGGGGCTGTCCCGTACCAATCCTGCCCTGGCTGCACTGGAAACCATGCATACTTTGCCTGGATGTCCGTCCAGAGGATAGGTTTAGATCTGTGGTGATGGTTGAAGTATTTACAGGTATTTGCAGCAGTTATTTACAGTACTTCTGCAGACCGCAAGCTGATTTTCTCTTCTTCCACTCCTAGTCAATCTGTTGTGGGCTTCTTTAGTGAGAAAGGCCGTATATTGAAGTGCCTGCTCAGCTGGCTCACCTGGGGACAAAGCAGACAAAAAGACTGAGTTAGTGAGGCTCAGACAGATGAGAAGGAAAGCAGGCAGAGAGCTAGACTAGTTCCTTCCCATGCTGACCAGGCCCTGCCACCTTCCTGCACCCATTTTCTCATCATCGACCACTGTTTGTTTTGCACAGGTCCAAACTCTTGAGCTTCCCCAGGATGGGCACAGAAGCTAGCAGGTCCTACACGCTCCACATGGGCAGAGCAGACCTGAACTGCAGCATCTGCCCTGTGTCACAAGGCTGGCCAAGCACACAGACATGCCACCCTCCCCAGTCGCCAAGCTCTGCCTCTACCAATCCAATGCCAGGACCAGTCAGGTGCACAGTCCTGAGATACGTAGCCCTGCCTTCCTACCATGCCCCAACTTGTCCCACTGCACCAGGGAAGAGTGAATTTCTCCACCGTCTTCCCCAAGTGGTTTTATATGTCAGGGTTTTCACAGCAGTTGAATCCCAGATCCTGCTGGAGAAACAGCTCTGAGGAACAAAAGAATAGCCTGGCCTGTCCAGGAGCGTGCTCACCTCTATCCTGCCCTCCCATCAGAGGGGAGGGCCAGAAACGCCCTGCTCCAAACCCAGGCACTCTGGATTTTATCCTGCAGCATTGCTCCCTCTCTGCTCCTTCAAGCAATATTTTTTAATATCCTGCCTAAGTTAATTTGATAGTCTCATATCTATGTGGAAAATTGCTCCCCCAATCTTTTTACAATTAGAACTGGGAGTCAAATACCTCACATTGAATATGAAGACACAGTGAGTAGGATCAGGCCTGCTCACAGATACAAACCCCAGCAAGGAGACCTAATCGCGGGTCTTCACCCACAGTACTGGACCAGCACTGCCAGCCAAGCCTCTGCACAGTGCCACGAGGCTCCTCAGGTAAGCACTGCATGTTTGGGTTGCAAAGAGAGCAGAGCCCAGCCTCCTTGCCCCAGCTGCTTCCCTGTAAGGGCATCCTGCTCACAGCACTCTCCACCCTGGCCAGATCCACACGGGACCATCCGGAGAGGCTGCCTCCCGAAATATGCTGACGTATGCTGCACATAACGCTGTCAGAGCTGTTCAACATCGCCTGCAAAGCCCCCTTTTACACCTGTCTTAGAAAAAAGCTCTCACTGCCTCTCTTTTGAGGAAAGGAGAAAACCACACAGGACTAGAGATTCACCAGGCTTTCAGCCGAGGTTAGGCAGAGCTCCACCACGCCATTAGCCCCAGAAACACCACTTCTAAGTGCTCTCCAGCTGGCAACACGCAGAGCAATGGATGAACAGCTGCTCGCCCCACTCCCCAGCCCTGCTGCTCCTTGCCTCCCCTCAGCCCGTCCAAGGCAAAGGGTTTCTCCAGAGGCACCAGTGCCACCAGCAGACACAGGAGCTGCCCTTCTGCCCAGCACGGGGCCAGTGGCCAGACGTTTCCAAACAGCAGTTTGGGGTGTACTGTTGCTGACAGCAGCAACAGCCTTCAGGTCGGCATCAGACACAGGAAGACGTGCAGCTTCATCACCTCCTCTCCCACCGCTTCTCTGCGGCCTCCGTACCAGGATCCTAGCTCCCTGCCCTTCCCTGAGGCCCCACCAGCTTGCTCCTCACTTCCATCAGCCGTTGCAGTCGCGCAGAACCAGCCATGACTGGGTGTGGGGTGCACAAAGTGCTGCCAGACATCAACAACTGCTTGTGAGGACACGAATCCACCCACGAGAACTGGGAGGAGGATGCTGTGACCGCAACCCCTTTGGACTGGTTACAGCAAGCCTGCAATCCTCCCACAGCTTAGAGACTTCCGGTTTATGGGATGACAGAAGTTACTCTGCTTCAGATATTTGGCCTCTTTCTCTCAGTATTAGGGTGAATTAGCAACAACTGCAGAACTACAAAGAAGCAGAGCAGCAGACAAGAGGATAAAAAACATAGCGTAGCACAGGCATTTGGTGATTGTAAGAGTCTTTACGAGACTCACAAGTGAGCAGGGCTGAACAGCACCAGACGCTGAGCCAGGCAGCCAGTCAGGATAGAGGATTTATTCCAATTTGTTACTCCCAAGTCAGGAATAGCTTGGGATTACATGCCATTCAAAGAGCCTTAAAAGACTCTTCAGCTCAATACAGGCTCTTTTATCCTAGGAGAGGAGACTGTGTAGATGGGACAGCTGGAATGGGTGGATGAGGGGAACATATAAACTCAGCTGAGCAGAGCACTGAGAAACTCACGGCAAAGGTTTGACAAGCATGGGCAGACAGGAGGATTACACCTTCTCATCAGTTCCCCCATCTTCAGCTATGATTCCAAGACCAAGTCTATTTAAACTGCTTAGCTATTCAAATCCTTCTTTCATAGAAGCCTCATTACACTAATTGGAAAGACAAGACAACCTGGGAATTATTTCCTTACCATAAGTAGAGTTGAGGCTTGACTCCAGAGGCTCCATATTAGACCTGGAGTTCCTAGGGGACAGGGCTTCCCAAGGAGGAGGTACATACATGGTAGCAACCAGCTCTGCAGAGAGCACAGGGTCGCTTGCCCTAGTTTCTCAGCAGTGTCCTGGGGCATTTCTAATGGGACCCCTCAGAGCTCGTTTTCTCTTCTCTAGTAATCAAAGCTCAGGGTGTCAGGCAGTATTTGCACCGAGCAAGTGGAGCAAATCAGTCCTCGGACCTCTATGCAGCCCTTGCAGCAGGGGCAAAGGCTGGGCAGTTGCAGCATTACCACGTTCTCTGCAGTGACACCCCTCTCCATCCTGGCTCTCCCAGCAACATGCACAGGGCATGCCAGGAAGGTCACAGACCAAACTCACTAGCCAGAGTAAGAGCAACAGCAGTTTAATGGTTTTAGTGCTAAAAATTCAAAATTAAGAACTTCTGCCTGACATCTAGACACAACATCCACTGCTCCAGGTATCTACTGGAGTGGCCCTTCTGGCTGCCTGAGGTCCTGTGGCAGGAAGCACAGCCTCAGCCCAGATGTCAGGGCCTATGCAGCATGTGCCAACACAGATGAAACACCTGGAAGTCAGCCTCACACCCCTCATCACCACTCTGTGTTACTGCATCCTATTTAATCTACAGTCACAGCCCACATCCTGGGTCCCAGTTTGATCACAGCTTTTTGACCCTTAATGCAACCTCTGCAATCTCTCGCTGGTGACCCAACTCAGTTTGCACACAACCCCTGGTCTCTAAGCTGCAACTGCCACCAAGACAAGTTAAACACGGCAGCAGAGATGCAAGTATTTGTTTCAAACTAACCTCTGGTACAACAGCCCCCCATCACATTGTGGAAAGCTTGTTCAAACCCATGCAGCAGCCCACACAACCTTGCAAGCAAGTTAGCTCAAGTTTCACGTGGTCACAGACAGCGCGAAAGAAAGCTGAGTGCCCCCAGCTATTTTCACCAACATTCCCATTTTTAAGCAGGGTATCCTATATCCCAGGCAACAACAGCACCCATGTAAATCCTACGATCAGAGCACAGCAGCTAAGCCCAAAGCCTAAATACTGAGTTTACGTACCACTATCACTCCGTAGTGGATGTGTGCCAGGGTGAGGAGAGCAGTTAACAAGTACAGGAGAAGTGTTTCGCTATGTGGTGCGAGTCCAGATATCACCACAACGAGCACCACTGCTATGGGGATCAGCATCCAGTTCAAAGGCTGGCAGCGTGTGCTGCTCATCTGACAGACAATCAGCTGGCACTGTAGGAAGAGAGAGCTGTCAGAGGTTCCCTGGCTTGCATCTGGTACCCACCCCGCAAAGCCAGAGCTATCCATAATGCAGACAGGAAGGTCATGTATGCATATGTACCAACATCTGCACTTAAAACTACCACCACTGACTCCCTCCCAGAAAACTCAGGATCTTTCTTTACATTAGAATTCCTTTGGGGCACATGAAGCAGGGCAGAAAAGTCATAGGAGAGCAGGCATCAAGGACATCTTTCAAGAAAAGGGAGTTCCCTTCGGTTGACCAAGCCTCCCCAGCATTATCTACGGTAGCTGCAGAAAATCCTGCCAAGCAGCAGGCCCAGCTGCTGGACCTAGAACATGGATACACAGAGCTGCATGGCTGCCCATTTGAGATGGCGAGCACAGATGCCTTTGCTCAGGACTCAAGCAAATACAGATGCAACACGCAGCTAACTCAGATTTTGACAAAAGCTTTAGTCCCTCTCATTTCAGGTTTAGCCAAAAAAACCCAGGAACTTCCTCAATATTAGCAGTCTGCTATTCACAACACAGAGGATACAAGCAATTTAACTATTTCTCTGGTTTCTCAAGAATGAGAGCTGCAGTACAGAAATGCCTGTGAAATCTGCAGACTCTACAGCCTCTGCCCACTCTCCCATTTTGTTCTTTCAGTCAAAGCAAGATATAAAAGCTGTTTTAAGCTAATCTTCATATCTCCCTTCTTTCTTCCAGCTGGAACTTGGTCTTTTTCTTCCTGTCTCCCAAGCAATCCTGGGACACTTCACACTTCCCCGAAGGATAGACCAGAGCATAAAGCACTTACAGAAATGTTAGCAAAGGCTGTTCCAACCATGAAATAGAAGAGCCTGGGATGGATCTCCAGGATGTTTGTCGGTGACACGAAGATCCAAGCAGTGCAGAGCACAAAAAGCAACACTGGGGACACCAGCGGTAGTGTGATTTCATACGCAGAATGGTGCTTCAAGGTGTTATTTTTATAGGCCCTGAAAGGCAAGAGGTCAAAGAAATGAAAATACCTGGAACCATAGCTATAAGATACCCGGTCCTTGCCTCCAGAGAACCATAAGATCTCATTGGTCACGCTGCTACCCAAAGCTGTTGATATCAGTCCATAACTGCAGACACACAAGGAAGATACACACCTTGCTTGTTAACATAAAGCTTAAAAAGCTCCCAAATTACAAAGGCATTTGGCTGGCTTTGTGGGTTGTGAACAACAGAGTAAGCCTTCAACAACTGGTGGCCCTTCTCTAAGCTTCTGATTTGTAAGAGCCATCTCGTCATACTACAGACAGTCATCTGAAAACCATTAAGAAATACAAGTTAAGAGGATTAGGGGTTCTTGCAAAGAGGTTAGTGAGAGGAGGGAGACTTGCAGAGGAAGAAACTTACTTGTAGAAGTTATACAGACTCATTGGCAGTGTCACAGTGAGCGCACAAGCTGGAAGAGAAAGAGTCACGTTACTGCCGCACAGTAGAGGGAATCTCCATCACGTGCACCCCGGGAACAGATGGATGGTTGAGCTCTGCTTTAAGTTGCTTGCAACAAAAATAGCTCAGAGGCGCACCAAGAATAGCTTAGCACATTTAAAAGTAGGCAACCTTCATTCTGGTTCAAGAGCTGTAGTTGCAATTTAAGGTCTGCTATAAATTAAAGACTTTTGAATTTTAAAAAGTTGCATTAATGAGCCCAGCTTTATGTTTTAAACTGTTACAAGGTTTAACGATATTGACTTTAACTGGACATGAAGCGAGTTCAAACTCCGCAAGTAGCGATGCTGCTGTACACTAAGGAGTTTTCAGTCTAAAAGCCAATTTGCTATTTCTCCCACCACCTATAAGCATTTTCAGTTCCCATTTGTGGAAGAAAAAAAAAAAGAGTTTGTATCATTTGTCAAGTTATTTTCGACTAAGAGTGTAAATGGCACTGAAAACCTCAACCTCATTAAGAAAAAGCAGCTACAAAGCCATGAGAGTCTATCACAACTTCTTCCTCGTTTATCCTGCACTAAGTATTTTAATAGAGCTGTGCATATTATTTCTGCTTTTAATAACCCAACTCCTATCCAAGGGCACAAATTTGGTAATCAAACGTGTCATGCCCCATTTCTTTACTTCCATGTAAGAAAATAGACTAAGTGTATTTATTATTCACATGTTAAATTACATGGCTGCTAAAGGAAAGCTCAGATATCCTTTTGATTAAGAAAAAGTGCAAGCATTAGATTTAATGCAACAATTCAAACATATCAACTTGAAATTAAGCAGTGATAATTAACCCCTAAAGAAAGAAAAAGATATAGATTAAGAAAAATTAAATTGAATAAGATCTTCTGAGTAAGTCAAACTACATTAAGCAAAAATAGTTCTCCGCTATTAAGTTTCACCCACATTATTCCCCTGTTTGCAGCAATTTGTTCTGAATGGCCACTGGAGGTAAATGCTAGGCTTTTCTGGAGGAAGGTTGCACGCTCTTATTTAATTTTTGGATGGGTGGGTGAAGGGCAGGATCTCCAGAAAGGAGAGTGCATTTTCCCAACTCTTTGGCTAAAGCTTTCCTCCCTGCAGCAGCCCCAGGCTCCTAGCTGCATCCTTTGGGCTCTGGTCCTGCTCCACAAACGCTGCCTGCCCAAGGCCATTGCCAGGGTCCGTGTTGCAGGACAAGACACAGCCAGGCTCCCTTGCTGATGCTACCTTGGAGGAAGTTGTTCAGCCAGACAGAGCCTCAAGCAGAGCCTAACCACCCTCTACAAACAGCACAAGGGCCAGGGAGGTCCCAGAAACCATGCACCAACCTGCATGCAGGCATGCCCACCATGGGCAGGTCTGCACTCTATATATAGTCTAAAAACCTTGCAGCCCGGGCTGAAAAGGAATCGCGCTTCCCCTGGACAACGTGGCCAGCACACAGGCAACTCCTTTTTCCATACACATGGGTATTCAGAGGAGACATGCGTTCATATACTCACAGATCCTAGGCTTGAAGGAGCCTCATATTTACCAGCCAGGGGCCAGGTCTCAGCTCCAGCTGCCTCCCAACCAGGCAGGCAAGCCCAGCCTAGAGCAGAAGTCACATCACTTCGTCGGCTCCAGCTCAACCCTCAGCGGCTCTCATTTGCTCAGATGCAAACCCAGCTATGCCGCTCCGGACAAGGAACTGTTTCATGCCTGTCTGCCCAGCACCTTAACCCCAGCTGCGCAGCACCAGGATAATCCCTGGAACAGCAGCATGCACCTCTACCCTTGGGATTAGCACAAAATAAATCCAAAGGCATGATCCCAATATACACACACTATCTCCTTGCTCTTTCGATCAACATAGACCAAGGCACACTGGGGCTAGTTAACTTCTGCAAATTAATTATGTGGAACAATCAAAGGACAGGCTGCAAGAACACCTTGGATTAATCACTTCAAGAACAGCCTACAAAAACTTTCATTAGAGCAAACAGAACAGCATTATAAAATAATCAAGACATTCAGTTTGGGTAAGAGTTGGTGTTTAAAAGACAGGCTTCAACATGGAGTTTCTTACCAATAATCATTGCAGTGAATAGGTCTCTATATAAGAAATTAAACAGGAAAGGTGCATACCAGGCCTCAACTCCCACAATGGCTGTCACAATGTAGACAATTGAAATGGTCTGAAAGAAAACACAGAACAGAAGCAGGCATGAGTAACCAGACAGACGAGTCTGGCAGCATGGGACTTGGCAGAGCGAACACGCACGCCAAGGAGCTTCACGGGAATACAGCTTTCCAGGTACTCTTTAAATTACATAATGTTCAGTTATCCCCACCAGCACCGGGGGGAAAACCACGCAAGATAAAAAACCAAAACACCCAACCGAACACAACCTTGTGCTACAAGACTAGGTCTAATAAAAGCGTAGTCGCTGAGCTGCCGAAAAACTACGCAAGTCGTCGTGTTCTTCTAGTGAGAGGAAAGCAAGCGCAAAGACTAGGATCTGTTCCTCACAGCATGAGCAAAGAGGCCCTTGCACAGCTTGAATTCACAAGATGCTTAAAACAAGAGACAAGTTTTATACAACCAGTTGCAATGACCAACTCTGATATACTTTCTAGGAATAAACTACAACTTTGGAGGGTTTGTTCGGGGATCTTATACCTGTCTGCTGAAGCAATATAGAAAAAAGCTAGCAAGGGATGCTTTTTAGTTTAATAGTAATAGTAATCCTGAACTTGAGTGAAACATTGCAGGTTAGCTTAGTCCTCAACCCCGCACCTTCCTGCGGAGGTCAGAGATCCAAAAGTTTTAAGGGCTTAGCCACGCTTTTGGAGAAAGGGGTCAGAATATAGCTAGTCAGAGACCAGCTAAGGTTTCCTTTTATTTGTAGAGACTGTTATTGCAATTAATACTGCTGCACCCGGTCACTCTCTTTCCAAATTTTTGCATTTCTCATCCAGGATCTGGTAAATCAGGAGACAAACAAATACTGTGCGCTGCTTAGTGCTGCAAGACTACACACTGGCTAGGAAGGACAGTTTCAAGCAGTAAAGGGGAATTTTGCTCATGCAGAACTGCATCTCAGTTCTGATGAACTCTTCTGAGAAGGAAACTCCTTCTGAAGTCCTTAATGATAGGAGATCATGCTGACGTACCAAAGGATCCATCGTTGTTAATAAAAATCTTAATGTCCACTGTTCAATGACCATGGTACAGACAGAGAGGCACCTCCCAGAAGAACCTTTGCTCCAGGCAGAGAGTGATTAACATGCCAATTAGTTACCCAGGTACATTTTGGCACACATCCTGCTAGTGCAAAAAGGCACCCCAAACTTCCTGTACTTCAATGTACCCCTGTTGATGCAGTGTAGAGCATCAATTAACTAGAGCAGCAATTCAAGTAGCTAACGTGTGAAATCTTAGCACAGCAGACAGAAACCAAGCGCAGGAAATCCAAGCCAATATTCATTTTTCAAGGCTAATTTCTTTCCTGCTAGTACAGAAAGTCCAGCAGAAAGCACAAAAGCTACTCGGAGCAGAAAAATTCACATCTTACCACATAAACCTCCCTGGACCTTGTTTTTGAGAAGATGAATTCTAATGCCGCATGACACCTGCTCATTAAAGCAACTGACTCAAAAGTAATGCAAGCAGCCTGCTCCTTTTGCATGCAAAGGACTCAGAGCCTCACCTTTGAGAGGATTCCCAATGCTGTGCTGCTCAACCAAGCGCGCATCAGGCACGTGGCCCAGAAAGCTCTCCTCCACAATGCCTAGACACAGGCAGAGCAAACCCACATCCAGGTAACGTGGCAGTGACTGATTTACAAGGTTTTAGGCACATACCAGAGCTACATGCATCTCCGATACCTCAGTGGGCAATATTACCCATACATGCTTGCAGTTAATCAAATTTCTTCTGAAGCAGAGCAGGGGCTGCGGTGTGTACTTACCACCTGGCTGATGTCATATCCCCAAGGCAGGAAGAGAATCCCTGTGTTATATTTCTCCCAGTGGGAGAGGATGAATGAGAACAAGACCACCCATAAGAGGAGGTACAGAACGAAGACACTGACACCCGTGGAGCCCCGTCCAAAGGTGGAGTAGACTGTCACAACAAAGTACACGCATGCCCAGCTGTCCAGGCCATGATCAAAGAGCTCTCCCAGTGGTGTGCTGGAGTTGGTCCTTCGAGCTTGTTTCCCATCGACACCATCTGGAAAGAAAGTAGAGAAATATGGAGTTGCACTGGAAATCCCCATGCAGAACAATGGGCCTGCTCACAGCTGCTGAAGTTACCACAGGGAGTGAACAACAGCTTCCACTGCCTCCATCCTCTGTGAGGAGTGGGTTTCCCCCCCCCTCTCTTTTTGCAACTGAAAAGTAGAATAGAAGGGAAGTCTTATTTACAGGTTCCGATTATTTTTAACACTGTGCAGAGCCAGAATTTCATAGATCATCTCAAAGCCAATTCCTCCTTTTGCACCCCTGGCTCTGAGCCAACTTGCTTCTATCTGCTTTGCAAAATAACTTCTGGAAACTGCTCTAGTAGCCCAAGCAGCAATTAGAGCAGGACATGGCAGAAGGCCAGAATCAGAGTTTCTCAAAGGGCACGGAGATAAGATGACACACAACTGCGGCATGAACAGACGACTGACAGATCGCAACCCCCCCCCCCCCACCCCCCCCCAACGTCACACACTTACCTAACGTATAGGCAATGAAGTTGAGGAGACCCACAATGACCCACACTCCACTTGGAACGTGCTGGTGATCAGGAGCTGCAGAGATCAGAAAGACCCGAGACAGGACAGCTCAGTATGTACTTTCAGTAAGCTTATTTTGGCACAAGAGGCACAGCAACAAGGACCGGTGGCTCACCAATACAAAGCACCTGTGCAACTGAAACGGTGGAAATGAGATGGTAGCTTTCCAGGATGCAATGGCAGTGTGAAACCTGGTGAAACCAAGTGAACAATGAGAAAACAGGTCAGTGAGAACAGGAGTCATGGGAGTTCGCTTTCCAGGACCTACTTCTCTTCTCAGTTCTCCAAAGTCACAGGATCAAAGAACTGGTGATGGCAGCTAGCAACTGTAGTCCAAATGCACAACGGAAAAGTGCACGCAGATTAGACTATCCTCAGTCCCTTGCTAACAGAGCCAACATCAAGCAGAGCAACACTGCTGGACAAGTGACTGTACCCTTCCTTCCAGACATGCAGGGAAGGCTTTCCGAGTCTCCAGTCTGTATCCTGCTGATCAAAATAGTTCTCACTTTATAACACCACCTCTTCCTTCAGCACTGTTTTGACTGATAGCAAGCTTAGCTTTCTGCAACTCTAGGAGCCAAAAGGTTGTATTTAAAAAAAAAAAAAAAAAGGCAAGAACAAACACAGTCTCTTTGTAGTGGCCTCACAAGAAGGCATGCGGAGGTCTTCTAGGAGGAACGATGATTCCACATAAGGGTGCCTCTTGTTTCCTTAGAGCAGCATAACGGTGCCTTTCCAGCAAAACTACTCACAGACACTGCAGAGCATCTCAGATCTACAAAGTGTCCAACGAGGAGGGAAGGCACAAGCCTCTGGAGGCCTCCTCAGCAAAAGGAAAAGAAATGCTCCCTTTCTAGGTAGGACACGTATAACATGTACATAAAAGAGTCCCAAAGCATGAGTTTGTTCTGCTGTGCCTTTGGCAGAGCCAAAGTTCCTGGAAATCTGATCTTCCACAGATCCTTACACTGAGCCTTCTGCCTTGAGTTACTGTCAGCTTTGCTGCATAGGGCTCACGAACCAAAACATGGTCCAAAACTTAACTAACAGGGCCACTGATGCCACTCAAGTTTCTGAAAAGCTGGTCTATTAATAATAAATAGTACCTGTCTACCTACAGATAAAGACAATCCCAAGAAATCAGTATTTTTCCACACTGAACTGTGTTTTGATGATTGGCCCAGTTCTAGAAGAACTGAGCAAACTCTTCTGAGACCCCTAAACTAAACCTAGAAGGGGGGAAGGGGAAGGAAAAAAACATAAATGAAGACGCCTGTAAGCGACAACGAAAAGAGTAATACAGCACAGTAATTCTCAGAGACATCCTCACAAGGGGGAAGACGCAACTGAACCTTCATCCCTTGGGTGGCAGGGGAGAGAACGGATGGAAAGTACATGGGTAACACATTGCAACTTTCATTCTCTTAGCTAATCTCTGCCGTTCTGAATCCAACAACAAGACAAGATGTAGTTTTTAATGCAAGCAATTAAAAAAGTTGTGTGCATCCTTGCAAATATGCAGAATGGTAAAACAGAGAGGGTTCTGTCTTTGTTAGTTTGAACGTGGCGTTGGCTTGTTTTTGCAAGGGGGAAATTAGCTGGGATGCAAACAACAAGGCTCTATTTGCTCACTTTCGGGAAAGCAATTCCACGCTTCATACTGTTTTGTTTTAAAAAGGAGGCATTAGGTTTTTCTCAACTCTGAAAACAGAGCTGCTTCCTACTCAAAAAAGTTTAGCTATTTCCTCCTCCCTTACCCACATACCCCCAGCCAGGCACACATCTACCCAGCAGCTAGAAGGAAGGTGTCATATTTGGGCAAGTCTTTGTCGTGAAGGCCAGCTACTTCCACCTTCAACTCTTCAAACGGTCCTTCCTCTGACACAGCCACCTGGCTCTGGGAATGCCCAGATTAACAAGGCTAATCATCAAGCACCAGAAGTTGCAGCAGAGAAGTTGAAAGATTTTACCACTCCGATGCTTTACATCCAAACAGAAACAGGCAGCCTTACCAGAAGCATAAAAGTCAGGGTCGAAGTATGCCATGAGGAAGAAGTTGAAGACAAGCAGCAGGAAGCCAGAAAACGTTATCAGATTTGGGGCCAGCCAGGTAGGGAAGATCTATGGGAAATCAGCAAAAGAACACATGAACTCATTAACACATGTAATAAGGACTAGACACTGCTCTTGGCCATGGCAGAAGCCTGGTTACAATCATGGGCATTAGACAATGCTGCTTAGTCACATCTGACTTATTACGGGGCAACACAAAGCTTTAGGCTATGACGCAACAAGCTCGGTGCAGGCTGCGATCAGGATGACCGCACCCCTTGCATTAGTCACACCACAAACCAAGCGGGTCTTTTCAGCCGAAGCAGATCCTTTCAAGTTGACAGTGTTTTGCACAGAAGACTTTGCAGAGACCAGTGTTTTGCTATCCCCACTCACAGGGCACGCGAGGTCTCACCTTCACTATCGTGTTCCAGAACGGATGCATGACGTACAGAGACAGGGGGTTGCTGTCCACGGCACTGTACTGTGAACGAGAGAGAAAATAAACAACAGTTATGGCGCCAATAACTCTTGCAAGAAGGTACAGTTCCTGCACATCCAGGGTGGACCCACTTTTTTACTGCGAGTTGGAGGGTAAATAAAAGGACTATTCCTAATCTCCTCTCCCATAGGGTCTGTGGGGACTTCAAAATGCCACATAAACTACTATACCACCATGCAGCTCATGCATGACTGCCTCCAAGTCACGCGCGTGTCATTAGAATTTAAGTAGGGGGTCATTCAGCATTAAAAAAACGTGGAAGAAGTACAGACAGCAGCTCCCCAATGCAGTGAGACAGGCGCAGCGTGGGTTGCTTCACTGGTACCGCATGATGTAGGATTCCCAGCCCAGCTCCCAACCTCACCACAGCAGGTGGGGACCAAAATCAGAGCAGGCAAGGGAACACAAAGTGGCCATGGTGGGATGGACCACTGATTTTGGCATTTGTCTCGAGCCACACCTGATATTACAGAGGGGGAAAACAAAACAGCCAAACGCTGCAGAAGTGCTCGCTGGGTGAGAAAAGGTTAAGACAGCAATTTCCTTTCTCTGTCCTTAAATAGAGGCAGCTGGAATACAAGAGGCTAAAGAACCCAACAGGAAGATTTTTGCCTTGGGCAGGCTTTGTGTTCACTGTTTGCAGGTGCACCGTTTGCATTATTTTTATTTAATAAGACAGGGTAGTTTGAGGCAGAGGTCCACTGACTTGTTAAAGCATCAGTATCTTGTTCCTGGTCCGTTCCCAGTTCTGCGCTCCAGCAGGGCTGGGAACTGGTGCTCATGTTTCCAAGGCAGAGAACTGGTGAGCAAACATCATTATGCCCTTGGGTGCAGGACAGCTCTCAGAGCACTGCTCAGAAGGGCTCCTTTTAATTAAGGAGTTAAGATTTCTGACCATTGACCATTCTGTGACCGTTCTGCAATTTCTGCAGAGGTCACCGCTCTTAAAGGTTTTTTGGCTATTTGAGGGAAAAAGTAGAGGAAAAAGAGAAAAAAAAAAAACACCACCACAAATACAAGGCCCAGACAAGCCACAGTACAATTTCCATTTAGAAAGTTAAAATTTCACATGATTGGCTCTGAAGAGAACCAGAAACAACTGTTATCTGCCTTCTACCTCATGGCCATTTACTAGTAGAGTTTATCCTGTCTAAAGTCCTCTTCCCCAATTCTTCCGCGCACGTGCTCAGTGTGCTCAGCGCCAAGCACGGCAACCTCGGGCACCCATTCGCTCTGAACAACAAGCCCAACAGCCAGGACACCGAGACACAACACTTGCACAACTCTTCCACTGCATCAGACATTGGTCCCTACTTTCACCTCATGCTATCACCACATCCCAGGGGAAAGTTTAAGAGCAGCGTTACTGAGAGCAATCAAAGCCGCCTCCTCTCCTGCAGAGCCGCAGGTGTAACCCATGCACTCACTGAGATAAAGAGGAATTCCTAGAGTTGTTAAAACAAAACACGTCAGCAGATAGCAACTACAAGTCCCCACCCACCCCAAGGCCTTGAACCACTAACCAGCATCTTCTCTTAATCAACAGCTTGTCCTTCCTCTATTCTCCACTCCTCCTTTGGAAACCCCATTCCTGGGAGCAAAAAGGGACACTTTGTCCATTTCTGACGTTGGGAAGAAAGAACGAGTTGACGCTCCAGATTGCTGTCATGGGAAAAGGAAAAGCTGCAACCCACAGAAGACATGCTCCCATGAGGAAAGGGCACCTGATCCAGCAGAGCGCACAGAGGAGTTCATGCCCCGACCGCATAGACTACGAGCAGTCTCTCAGGGCAATGGAGAGCTGCTGCTAACTTGTTTTGGGGCTGAAGCGCTTGAAGAATGAGAACATGCCTGCTCTTCTAAAGATCTGCAAAAGAAGCATTCACATAGGGCTTTATTAAAGCCAGATTCGTTGCTTGCAGCTCTGAACACAAGCCTGCAGAGCGTTCTTTCAACAAACAGGTGGAGGAAAGCCCACCTACTTTTTTTTTTTTCCAATCATTACAGCATTTGTAACATTTTATTCCTACATTCCTAACGGTGTTGAATCCCATCCTTAGCAAAAATTTCTATCCTCCCCCCCCCCAAGTTTTTCCCTACCATCCCTGTGATGGATCCTCCCATACTGTCACACTACACGTTAGCTAAACATTGCTTATTTGCTCATCCCAGTCTCTCCATGCCAGTAAGTCTGTATGAGCTGCACAGCTGCAACGTTGGAACAAAACCCTGAACTCTGATGCTTTTATGGAGACGAGGTTTAAGCCACAAGGAATTTCCATCCCAGCTTAATGTAATTTTGAAAGACAAAATTCCAAATGCTTTGTAAGGTAATAAGATTTGAACTAATGTTTAGGGGAGGAGGAGATGTAGAGACTGATTAAATCTCATTATCTCCATAACAGCCTGAAATGAGAAACCAAATGGAGCGTTTGGAACAAGCGAGAAGAAGCACTTTGGAGTTTATACGTACATGTTATTAAGGTACCTTTAGGATGTTTTTCCAAGTCCCTGTTGTGGGAAGCTTTCCCCTCTTTCCCCCTGCCACGTTCAGAAGAGGAGGATAACGGGCAATAAGCAGCTTTTCCCAATGGTGACACATGTTCCCGTCTTACACATGGAACTCAAAGCCCCTGAATGACCCATTTCTCAGGGCGAGGAGGAAGCCCTTCTGCAGAGGTTCGCCGACACAACCACCATCAGCCGCTCTCCCAGAGGGACGCGTCTTTGCCTGCTGAGCAAAGCAGGTAAGCGCTTTGTCAGCTCAGAGGACGCCAATAAATCGAAAGGTGTGAGCTGCAGCTGGCTGCAGCACAGGGCTCGCCATGCCAAGGAAACGGCACTCCTGGGGAGTCAGGCACGGGGCTGGAAGGCTGCTCGCCCAGACTGACAGCACAGGACAGCCGCTTGCAGCAGGCAGAAACAACCCGCCCGGCATTTTCAGTTACAAAAAAAAAAAAAAAAAAAAAAAACGCTCCATACCAAGCCTCCCTGTGATTGCTTTCGCCTGGCTTCCTTCCTACAGTCGCATCCATCTCGGAGCTCCAGACAATTCTGGAGCTCCAGACACTTCTTCACTGTGAGGGTGACAGAGCACTGGAACAGGTTGCCCAGAGAGGTAGTGGAGTCTCCTTCGCTGGAGATATTCAAAACCTGTCTGGATGTGATCCTGGGCAATATGCTCTAGGTGACCCTGCTTGAGCAGGGAGGTTGGACTAGATGATCTCCAGAGGTCCCTTCCAACCTAAACGATTCTGTGATTCTGTGATTCCCAGTTGGCAGAATTAATCCAATCACATTGGCTGGTCAGTCTAGCCCAAACATTACTTTCAAGTATTAGCAGGAGCGACTGGAGCTCTGGAAGTAAATTCAGATGCAGTGTAAAGCATTACGCCGCTTGGCTTGACATAGCTCATTTTTATTTTTAAGCCTTACACATTCTGGTTTCCTTCCTAAAAATTTAGTGCCTTGAAGCACAACAGCCCATTACAGCAACAAGTTGAAAAATGGCCTGTACACCCACAAAGTTTGTTTCCTGCTCAGTTGTTGGTTCAGTTGTTCAGATGAAATAGTCTCAAGGCTATAAAAGTAGTCGTGTTTTAGCTTGCCACAGCCCCAACTCTATCATTCAGTCACCTCATCCTTGCTGCAAATTAGCATCATCTTTTCCATTTTGCATCTCTACACAATGGTCTAGTGACTAATGCATGCGACTATTATCCTTCTCCGAGTCAGTTTTCTAACATGGCCGATGACCGCCATCGATTAGGCCCGACTTCTCTCATTTTCAAGGAGAGAAGGTCAAATGAAAGGTACGAGCGCAGGGAAAGAATTTCACACGCTCCAGAGTCTCCTTCCCAAAGCAAGCAGACATTTGCAACGGAGCCTGCTCTAAAATAGCATCACACACAGAGATACCACTTCTTCTGCAGGAAGGAGCCAACCTAACCCAGACGGCCCCCTGAGGATTTGGTTTTAAACTCCCTTAGAAAAGGGCAGAGCCAACGTTGCAGTGACAGTCTCGCCGTTTACATCGTGCAACGGCAGCCTCTCCTGTGCCCCGTCCATGCCAGGAAAGCCACAGGACACGCTCCCTGCCAAAAGGCAGTTTAAGAACAGAGACGCCACTCTAGATTCATATACAGCATAAAGACACCCAGACAGGGACGTTTCCCCAAGGCAGGGAGGAGCGGCATACAGCCGGACTGCACGGCAGAGAGAACGGCCTGTCCAGCTCAGACCCTCGCTCGCTCCATCTCCTCACCCTTTAGAGACAGATCCCACCCGAATCTGTCCGGCTTACGCATCTGTGGCGACTCTCTCCTGCACATCCCTGAGCCACATGAAGCAAGACTGCATTAGCATGCGAGCAGAATATATCTCACCAACGCTGGAAGGGGAGCCACTCCTCGGGAACTTTTTTCCCCCCCCAAACGAAGCAGCAACATATGCTTTTAAAAATCCTTATATACCGAGGCTCTCTTCAGCCCGGGTTCACAGGCGTGCCACGCACCCAACAAGGCTCTCCTATCCTGCTTGATAACATTTTCAACTGAAGGTAACTATTCTTACACACAGCAAAAGCTGTGAACAGAGGCAGGGTTTTTTTTTTTTGAATTTCAGTATAATTTAAACTTTGAAACTCTTTACCTGGACATTTGAGCCAGCCAAGATGCACCTATTTATTGTATGCTCTTTGCACAAGCTAATGACTATAGTGGCCAGAATTACAAACCAAGGGAGACTGCAGCTTTGGGCAAGGAACAGCAAATGCACGCTTGGTACTAAATAAGCATTGAATCAGTTCAGCAAAGGAGTCCCGCTTGTCCAGTTCCTGGTCAGACAGCAACAGTGCTAGGTTGGAGCTGATCAGAAATCCCAGACTGTGCATGCTGAAGGATGGCGTAAACTACTCTTCCTCCTTGCCTCTACAAGCTAGCTACAGGTTTTTGAGATATGCTTACAAAAGCAAAGCCTGAGCCTTGCCATGAGACAGACCTCCGCCTACATGCACTGCAGCACCCCAGCAAGGGCCCATAGGACAAGCCAGCAGGACAGCAGACAGCCCCAGCTGCCACAGTGCCGTTGACTGCCATTGTTACGGGATTTAGAGGCACGAATGGCTCACATAGCTTAAAAGTAATGTTAATCATGCAGCCGGGACATCTCCGGAAGATCCAGTTATGTGTCCAAGGAGGAAAATACAGATTTATAGCCTAGATTCTACTAATAGCTTTCCTGCCTGGAAAAATAACGCAGCTTTGAAGTAATTCAGTTACCAGGAGCCAGGATCAGACTAGAACATTGTTGTACGGGCACTCTGTACACACCAGTATCAAACTTTCAAATATGATGTGGGGTGGGCTGAGGGAGGACAGCACTGGTGGCAGACCGAGTCACATCACCAGTGCTGCTCAGGCTAAACCTCTCCACCCAACACAAAGATGGAGACCATGCATTAGGGATGATGCCAGCCTGAAGCTGGTGGAAGAGGGCTGGCATTGCTCATTACTTGACACCTAAAAGCCTGGCTCCATCCCACAGCACGCGGCCCCTGTTTACAAACACTGATCTGCACCACTTTCCTTTTGGGGTAGGGCGAGAAGAAAAGGGGGAAGGTTCCTTGGAGATGAAAGCCTACACCACAGAAAACCGTATTTTCCACTTGTCAAACAGTCACGTGCTCGTTCCTTGCCCAACTCAAACGGGCTTTGAGAGCCTAGTCCCTGACGAGGGGTGGTGGCATTATGGCCACTGAGGAATGAACATTTTGCCACCTGTAGGTCTTTCCAAGGCTTGTAACCGGGAACGGGGCCGAGAGAGTCCGGGTAGTACAGCTCCAGTAAGTCTATAAGGCCATTTCCTATAAATCTCTCTGAGTATGAAGAAGGCACAAGGCTAAGAACATTTTCCTATCAGGCCTGAGATAAGCCTGGAGGCAGTGAACTTGACAATCCCCGATAAACATAATCGAGCAGAGCCGTGCCAGTGCAAACAAGTCACATTTGCACTATGCCCACACACTGCTGATGTGTTAAAAGCTGCGTCGTGCTTTAATGGTACTTATTAACTTGAGTTCTGTTTATCTTTTCTAAGGTCATTTCGCAGCTGGCAAAAGAATGAAGTATTCTGACAATAGTAAATCTGCAATCGCCACAAGAACCAACAGGTTTTACTCCCACCAAGAGCAGCAGCAGCTCACGCTCACAGCAGCTCACCAAGGGAAAAAAATGGTGTGGAGGATGCCCCTTCTGCCTCCTGCACAGCAGCAGGGAGGGATGCACAGAGCAGCGGGACACCAAGGGAAGGCTGAGACCTGTCTGAACAGCCAGCATCCATCCATCAAACACCAATAACCACTGCAAGTCTCAGTACCGACACCACTTTCCTCCTCCTGCCCGTTTTTTTCATTCTCCACTGTAAACGTTTTAGACCTCTAGCAATTAAGAGATGCTTCAAAACACAGCACGCAGTGGATTGTACCTAGATCAAAGCCCTTCTCCTCCAAGAGGAACTACCATATCAGCTAGAAGCTTTGTTTCAGCTCCGCAAACCCCACAAGATGCGTAAATTTGTTGGGGAAAAAAAAAAAAAAAAAAAGATCTCTTCTCTGCCAACACCCTGTCACACTCAGAGCCTCAGCTCTCCCCATCACCATCTGGGAGATTATCCCTATCTTCTGTAAACACAGACGTGGGACCGCTCCTCCAGCGAACTGCTAGCGACGAGCATTTGGGAGAAGCTCGTTCTTCCTTGCAGATAAGGGCAGCTGAAGAAGCCACAAGCTTGGCAGCTGGAGAACGCACAGCAACGGCCCTGTGCCGGCAGCAGGGAGCAGCTTCAGGAGGAGGAACGCTCATCAGGACAACAGGTTTGCCTCAAAGCAGATGTATTACAAGAGTGATAACACACACTTGGATACAAAGCACCAGGCAGCGCTCGTATACAGCACACCTCTGCCCTGGCTTAACCTCAGCCTGGCCCCCTCCTCTGCAGAGAAGTCTTGTTCTCCAGCATAGCAGCTCATTAAGGGTCCTGCCGGTGGCCACTCCAGGGTGGACACAGGAGCTCAGGTTACAGAGTCTCATTCCAGGCAGAGCCTGCACTCAAGTTGCTCCTTGGCTGTCTAACCAATGCCTTCAGACAGCTGCAACTCTGGGCTGGCACCAGTGTCACCCCAGGGCGGGAAGGAGCAGGCAGCCACCTTCCTGCTGTGTCCCAGCCCCATCCCATCTCCAGGGGGGTGAGGGAGGGAAATCATTTTCCCATGGATACACAATATGGAGCAACAACGTGCAGAGCAGGCTCCTGACTGCAGCCTGCCAATTTCTACTGCATCCCTGAGTGCTCCCTCTCAGAGAGCTTTAAATATATACGAATATGGGTCACCATCGCTTCCGCTACAGTTCAAAGCGATCAGCTGCAGTAAGGATACACAGATGGCAAGCACAGGAGTAGGAAAGAAGAACTTAAGGGGCCCAAGGCGGGGATGCAGTTAGAGGAAGATAAGCCAGAGACCAGCCTCTGGAGTGAGAGGCCAGGGATCAGGGTAGCAACGCTGGGGAGGAAAGACTGAGGGGAAGAAAACCACACACACAGAGGAAACCTGTTACAACAACGTTGTGATGGCCGAGGGACTTTCTTACTCCTACCAGAGCTGCTTCAGACTTGGAACAAGAGGACTGAAGTATCTGAGGGGGAGGATCAGAGCCTGAACAGGTAGTTTGCAAGTCAGAAAAGGGGGGAAACAGCCCTTTTCTAGCACTGAAGGAAGCAGAATGGAAGAGACCAGGAAGATATCAAAACCCAGGAAAGAGGTTCTCACTCTCTCAGAAGGCTCCTGCTACAGTTTTAAGTGCGCTGATGGCCTAGGTGGCAGGGGAAGAGGAGGTGCCTGCTCTTGCTCCCCTTCTCCAGGCACACTTCCACTTCCACCATCCACTCTGTGCTTTCCTGAGGTTCCTAACAGGAGAATGACCAACAAATCCATTTCCTGTTGGATTAGTGAGCTGAACTGGCCACTTGCAGGTTGGGCTTCCCTTTTCAGGGACAGCAAGCCCTCAGAGAGGTGCAGCCACTCACAAGACTGCAGCCTCAGTCCCCTTTTTGGATGGCCACAAGGCTGGGGCAGAAGCGCATTGAATCCAGCACAGAGCTGCGTGTGATACTAATCCGTTCTGTTTCCTCCAGGAAAGCATGCAAGGCTGTGCAAGAACAGAGAATGCATGACAATACTAAGAAAAAGAATCAGTCGAAATTAAGTGTACCTATCAAAGCAAAACCCAAACCCACGCACATTAGGAAATGATTACAGATGAAGCAGGGCACTGCAGGGGTGGAGGAAGGAAGAATCCCTTCTACAAGTTCCAGCAGAGCCCATCTGAAAGGGACAAATAACACATTTTTTCCAAAGCATCTAATTCACTACAGAGTGAGGCACTGCTACCCAGCTATATCCCTCACTCCCCTTCTCTTGAGAGGGGGAATTTACAATTAACACAAATACAGACGAACAGGTGTTACTTTGTAAGCCCAACCATCCCATTCTGTGCAAGACAAAGCGCAGCAAGCCAAGTCAATTAGGCGAGCCCTAATAACACAGCCATGTTCTGAGCCAGATACTGGAAGTGATACTTTAATTTCTGTAATGTACTCAGGTTCTCTTCCAAACAGTTCCACCAAGCCAGATACTCACTGCTAATTAGCAGAGAATGGCATTTATGATGGGGTTCACTGTAGCCAAGATTCAACATTCAACAATAAATGTCACAGCAGACTTTCGGTCCAATTAGAGAGACTCAAGACGCACTCTGATCTTATCAGTTTCTTCTACCTGACAAGAGAAAAAGAATGTTTTTCACCATACACTCTCTCGAGAGAGAGAGAGTGAGGCCTCCCTGGGAAGCTATAAACCCTCAGAGTTCATTACAGTAATTTCCCAATATCCATTCCTTGCCAAAGAACACTGTTCATGCTGCCAGAGCACATGGGGGAGAATTAACTTCTAGAGAGCTACTTCCACCTGTGTAGAAAACAGTCCACTCTATTTAAGGCTGTTGTGCAAAGAAGTAACTTTACCCATCTTGCAACGCTGGGCCAGCACTCGAGGAAGAGCTGCAACGCAGCTCTCTACTGAACACGATGTGCCAACCTTGCCTCTTTTCCCCTTCTCTGACAGGGCTAGGAAGGCTCCTCCAGCACACAGAAAGGACTCAAACAGTCCAATACGCCAGCTTGCATACTACTGGAACCCACCTCCCCTAGTTCTCTTTCCTTTTCACATCCTTGTAGCCAGGAGTTTGGGGATTTGCTTTTTGTTGACCCTGACAACAGGGACAGGAAGAACCCAGCAGAGCCAGGAGGGCTCTGCCAGCTGCCTGCTTCCTACAGGGAAGGGCACAGAAACATACACAATCGTCACAGCAGACTCCAAGCAGGACAGCAAAGGGGGAAGTTGCATGCAAAGATTTCTTACCCAAAGCAAGAATGCAGAGTATCCAAGGGAGAGATTTGTAAAAGGGAACCTGAAGAGCAAAACATTGCTGAGGAGCCAGCTCTGCTTCCTACTCCTTCACTGCACACGTGCATGCAAAAACACCTGGTTGTAGCATGACATGCCCTAAACACCAGCTAGAGGCAGTAACCTTCCATCTCAGCATGGGACAAAAGCAGAAAAGTGGGCAGCAGTCAGCTGGGCAGGACAAGAGCTGCACCCTTCACCTCCACAGCAAGAGAAGAGCGGGGAGGATGCCCACTATGGGAGACGACAAGGACTCCACTAGCTGCATCCATTGCACGCACCAGCTGGCCTTACTAAGGCCTTTAGTTTTAGGGCATACAGCAAAAAAACACATAAACGGCAATGCACAAGGCCAAAGGCAGCTCCCCTCCCCAGAAAGGGGCAGAGGTTGTTTGCTAGCAGCACCGCTGTCAGCCCATGAGTTTTACAACAGATCACCATGCAGAAGAGCAACCTCTGCCTGACAGCTGATGCATCTGCTGCTTGTAAGTGAACACAGCCGATCTAAGTATTCCTAGACAAATCATCTTCTCATACAAGATCCCACAGAGGTTTGATGTTCCTCCCAGGCAACCCTGCATGACCCACTGTGCACTGAAGTAGCAGTGCATCTCTAACCACAAAGGGATTCCAGCACTAACCACTGCCACTAAGCAACTGAAAACGGAGAGACTGGGAAACCCCCATCAAAACATAGTTCTGTATCTTCAAAATCTTGTCAAGCAAAAGATACAGCCCAGAAACTAGATCCGTGGCAGTAGTGAACGGCAGCCCAAGCTGCTAGCAACAATCTCAGGATTACTTGAGACGATGGGATGTGGGCACACAGACTAGGTCCTGGGAAAGGACGAGCTCGACTTCACAATACATGTCAGAAGCGTTTCTAGAAAGGAAGCTAAATCTCTCAACCTCGTCTCATTGCTTAGCACAGAGCAAAAGCTTAGCAAAGGCTCATGGGGCAGGCTGCTTGTTTCCAGCTAACCTGTAAGTGCTCCTGCTGTCTCCTCCAACCAAGACAGCTGGGCAGTTTTCAGACCACAAGAGCTGCAAGGGACAGTAAGCTGGGCAGAGGTTCAAACCTGGAATTTAACTGAAGAACAGAAGAAAGGAGAAACCTCCTCTCTATCCTATAGCTGCTTGTCTTCAAAGTCACGAAATCTAGGAGGTCTTCTAGACTTTCTTACAGCATCCTCTGCAACACTGCAGCCAGAGCGTGCTCAGAGAGCACTGCATTGTTTAGAGGTAGCCACACACACACACACACACACACACACACATCCTCTCTGTTTCAGAGCAATTAAAGGAGCCTTTGGGGAAGGAGTTAGTGATTCAAGAACAGGGCCCAAAGGCTTCCCCTCCTCCACATCCTTCATCCTAAACGACCCTGCAGAAGAATGCAAGCTATTTGTCTGGAGGTGGCACAGAGTGGCCTTTTGTCATCACGACCTCAAGCCTCACATCCACACTGTTAATGCCAAAAGTCTTCCCTTTTGCTACCTCACTACCAGTTTTCTTGTTTTTCCATCAGTCTGAAGAGTCACTGACACACACCGATCTTCCAGCATTCTGGGGAGTCAACCCTGAAGATGTATCTTTATGGACTCATATTTCTTGAGAAGCCTGAAGAAGGAAAAACAAACAAACAAGAAAAACACACACACACCAACATCCTGCCATAGACAGTTTCCATCCATTTGCTTGTTGCAGTGTAGCATCTGTAGCCTTGCTTTCCGCGGTAGTTTTAAGTGTGCTATTCCTAGCAATTTCAGAAGTGCTGAGGAGATAGCAAACATTTTCCAAAGCCCATGGAAGGAAAGATTTCTTGCAGCCGAGTTAGAGGGGAAGAGCACCTCATCTGACACTGCAGGACAACCATGCTTGACAGATACTACTGCAAACCAAGTCGGCTAAGCGTGAACCTCCACGGGGACCCAGGGCTCACACGCTCTCAACCAAACAGCTATTCTAGTACGAGACTTTTTTTTCCACCCTCAGGAATAAGCGGTTGGAAAACAGCCTTCATTTTGCAAGATGAGGCAGGAGATACACCCTTCACCGCTAAAGGTGCCCTGCAGCAGCTGCTCTGGGCACCAAGATGCCTGATGCCATGGTAAGAGCACCAGCAAAGCTCAAGTAGGAGAGCTGGGATCTGCCAAGGGCCTCTGGGCTGGGAGAAGGGCATCAGCCCACAGCAGATCCCTCAGCCCAGCACAGGTAACTGCGGGGAGCAGCAGTGAATTAAACCTAGCACATAAAGCACTGCCAGCCACTCCCTGGCTCTCAGGCCACCAGACACCAAGAGGGCCTCATTTTACTGCTCACACAAGTAACATGACGAAGAGACTTTCTTTCGCAACAGCTATCGGCAAGAGCAGGCTGCCGGTAGCCTCCTTCACGCTGCTGCTCATTGCACGCTACCCTTGAGCGGCAATCACTGCCTCCTGCTCAGAAGCCAGGACATGGAAATGTCAGAGGAAGGATGTTAGAGCCCAGTAGTTTTGCTATAAAGAGTTCTCTCACTTTCCAAACTGCATTTCACTCCCTCTTACTGAACTCACGCTCACTCCCAAAGTCTTTGGGGCGAAACATCAGCCTGTTTCACCCTTTGGACCCAAATATGATACGTGTCATTGCCTTTCATCACACACACTAGCTCTCACGCTACATGTGAGGAACGGCACTCCAACTTTCTTCTTTCCTGGGGTTTCCTCCAAATCATAACTCTCTAAAATAACAAATATCCTTAAGGAAAGCCTGAGGTCCAGTCACCCACACAAACAGTCCCAAGGCTTTTACTTGCACTTATACCCAACTCACAAAATGAAGAAAACACACAAGCAGAGATCAATTATACGTGTGTCAAGAGCCTTACTACATAACACTGTTATCACTTGAGTATTTCCTTTGCTTCTATATGAGCTGGATGAAACAGCTACACAGTAAGGATGCATCTGGTTGTAGGATGTGGTCTAAGAATAGTTACCAGTGACTGCATCACACTGGAAGGCCCCAGTGCAGAGCAGGACTCCACATGGCATTGATGAATAAAATGAAGTAGAACTGCAATTGATCCAGACCACACAAGGAAGGAAAGGCTGCAGGAAAGTTAGGGCAGATGGCTGGAATCCAAAAAGACAAACCAATGAAGCTGTCTAACAAACGGGACGCATTAAATTGCAATGCTCAGCCCTCGCTCAGTTAGTCTCACTTTCTGTAATTGCTCTCCACACAGTGGCAGCTGGCTTACCGAAAAGCACAGCCTCCCCGATGCACGGCAGTGAGTCACAAAAGTCATGATGCTGCAGAAAGCAGCATGCATCTCATTGAGACAGGCAAACACAAGTAATAGGAGTGCTGCATGCAACACACAAAGCCATCCTCCCACTCTCTTCTGTGCTGGCAGGGCTCCTGCTCACGCGCTGCACTCTGCTTTGGGCACCACATTTCAGAGGAGGCAGAGACAACTTGCAAAAGGGAAGAGTTATTTGTGTTGCTCTGTGAAAACAGGACTTAAGGACAGTCTGGAGGGAAGAAAGGAGTGGGTCTTCCTCCTAGAGAAAGCAAAGCAGGTGCAGATATAACAGGCAGAAATCCCTGTGAATGTTCCAGATGGTACCATTCTCCCCCTGTCCATAATTTTATAGAACAGAGTTGCCCAGAAGTCTGCCAGGAAGTGATTCCCTATCAACTGACTTGGGGAGGAGAAGAGACAAGGCATGCTCGAGAGGGATGATAAGAGGCTGTTTCCCTGTATGCATCCTCCTTCTAACAGACAGACTTCTAAGAAGCGGAGTATGACCTCTGGCATTCAAGTGCAACATTTATGCTCCTGAATAACAGTGTCTGACTACACCCCTCTTGGCAGAGGACATTTAATACTTAACAGTAACAGAGCATCTGTTTTGCTTATGTCCTCTGAAGGTCAACACATGCATCCTGCTCTACAGCCTTGAAACAAGAGTTTTATTTTTGACATCAAGAACCTCTGTCCTGCCAAAAGCATCAATCATTCGCACTGAACTGACAAGTCGGTGGAAATGCTGAGACAGACATACTTAGTGGTCAGAGAGCCAGACACAAACCTCAAGTACAGCATCCTGTACACTGTGGGGAAACTTTATCACAATTAAGCCAGGCACGGGTGCAATGCATTAGTTAGAACAGATGTACATTCATTCCAATAGAGAAGTCCTTCCCATTTAAATTACCCATTTTAGGTTAGTTCAACTTAAATTTTCTGCAAAGCTATGTCAACTACACCTGAATAGCGTGGTCTCCTACT